ATCGTCTCATCATAAAAATAACCCGTATTTCTTCTTTCCACTCTTTATTTCTTCTTCAATGCCAATAATATTCGACGTATATTAGTTTGATATTCGGTCTTATGATAACATTAGATCATCACATTATCACGTCATAGCTTGACACAATGAGTACATTATCTATCAAGTGAAGTGCATGACACATGACCTCAGAGCTATTCGTGTTACCACATACAACGTCACGTGACCACAGAGCTGTCATACGCTGCCCACTCAGCGATAAGGGCTTAGGAACTCGAGAATTTTCCAATACTTATATGTATTGACTAAGGGTAAGCTATATCTACCATATGGCGTTATTAATAGTATGAATAACTCTTTAATACAAATTGTCTTACGGGTATACTGTCTCCCGTCAAAACATCTTGTCAGTTATCCTAGGCGCGACAAACAGTACAGAGGCTGTTTCAGCGCAGAAGAATCAGTCACCCACGTAAGAATGCGTGGCTGTGACTTCCCTACGAACAGAAATCTTCGGTGCAGTAAGCCGCTAAAGCTTGCAAAATGCTCAGGAAACTTCTGGAACGAGCTAGGCTGGCTTAATTAGCCTGGACTTCACGCACAACGGACCAAATGGGCGTCTAAGTGCGGAAACTGAGTACACACTACATACATACATTAACACAAATTGTCAGTATCCACCCTATGTATTTCGGGAGGCGTGTACAACTTCATATAATGAACATAGGGTACAGTCAAATGCACTTGCACCATTAAGGTTATATCAAATTTGAAATAATCTTTTACAAAATATGTAAGTGGTTATTTTCATCTCGCTATGTAGTTATTTGAAAGTATTACACCAATTAAAACATTAATTAATTTGACTTCGTTGCAATCTGTACATGTGACATCTTTTTGTATAAATTGTATTGATTAAATAAAAAAAAATAGAAATTTATACAAATATGCGCGCGCGATGACGCTCCATTATGAAATTAGATTTGGCAATTAGATATGTATAATGTAACTGCTAAAATAATAAAACATTAATTGCATAAACACTCTTTGTTTTCACAATCTGCGTCAATTAACGGTATTTTAACCGGTTCCTTAATTTCATTAGTTAAAGAGTTTACAATAGCTGTAGTTTTATTTTAAATTCTACATTACAAACATAAAATCGTTATTTATATATTTTTTTTAATATGGGCCAGCGACTACATTGTATTTGACATATTCAAAATTACTTGTAATAAAGTATTTTTGAAGTGAAACTACTTTAGGCGCATGAGGGTAAAATTTTACGTCACGAAGATGTGCAGCGTTTTTGTCGAGGAAAAGGGAGAGAGCGATTGAGACCGCTTGAGAGAAAGTGAGAAGGGCAGAAAAGAAAGAAATTCTATTTTTAAAATTAAAATCTCGTAAAGAGAATGTATGAAATAATAGTATTTTATATTTTATGAAATCAAAATTAATTTATTGTAATCTCAAATGACGAATTTTAAATTAAAATGCCACGTGTTTTTATGCCCATGGACACTGTCAATGCCAGAGAGCACGAGAGTGCGTTGCCGGCATTTTAAGAATTGGTACGCTCTTTTCTTGAAGGATCCTAAATCGAATTGGTTCGGAAATTCTTCAGCGGGAAGATGAAGAAGAAGAGAAGATAAGAAATAGATAAGAAGAATAGAAGTTCAGTTGTTTCGCATTCTGCCTGAATATCCGATGATGAAACTCAGCTGCAGGTATTAATCCGAACAACTACTCTAAACACTCTGCTGGGTAAATGCGCTAGAAGATGCAGTGAGGCCCGCAACTCTACGCAACGCCAAGAGATCTAGCCGTTCGGAAAGTGACTGGTCGTGGACGATTTGAATTCAAAATTGTAATTATTTAAAAATGGACCTAATTACGTCAATTTATGAAGAAAATATTATAATCAGTTACAAAACGATACCACGATATGCAACGAACAAGCACAGTTGTCGAATAGTCAGACTATTCCGGTGCTCACTCCACATCTAGTAACTATTAATGGCGATAAAACCTGGACGCCCGTTGCGTGGTTTATCCCTATGCAAAATTATCTCTGCTAGAGTTTCGCGAGCTCTTCTCTAGTGGCCCGAGTTTATCCATTCCTACATACGCTGTTGCACAAAGTTTAACGAGTAGTTAATGTTAAAGACGATAATAACATTAATTATCCACTTATGTAACGCTTAAGATAAACACAGTCACGTTTTCTCAAAGTGCATACGTGATTTATATCCGACAACAGTTCCGACCTCAGTTGGAAAGAGAGCGAACGCAAAGCGATACAAATAATGATACACGCTGATCTAGTAATAAGGACGTGTAGTTGTCGACAAGTATGTCGAGAGAAGCACAACAGTCGTTATTAAGACTTTTTAAAACTTCATATTAATAAAATAAATACAGCCGATATTCGAGTAGGTACTAAGGATTAGATTAAGTTACTGTTATTGTATCTTCTTTCCAATCTTTCCCCGCTATCTCTTTATTTCTTCTTCCCAGGTTTCTGGCGGGCATCCTCTCTTTTTTGAAACTATTTATTATTTATTTTCACAGTTGAAATAGCCGACTCCGCGTCATTATACTGTAAAAGACTGATTCTTTACGATCTATTATTCTAACTGGTAGCAAATTTACTTGTCGATCTTGAATATCCATCTCCGTACAGCCTCGAGACGAAACTTAATTGCATATCTACAAATAAAACAAACCAATAGCGCTAAAACCTTTTAGGTCTGGGGCTCAGATTACTGTATCAGTTTGGTAATTTTTTAAATAATATTCAAGTAGATAATCAGCCTCTTATGCCTGACTGCCGTTTTGTGTCTAAGTCATGATTTACCGTTCAAGCGATTGATAAATGTACATAGTGAATGCGTCGATTAGTGCACAGCCTGGTAGCGAACCTCAGGAATGAGAGTCACATGCTGAGGCCAATAGGCCAAAACACTGCCACATAACACAAAATTGAAAAAAAATACTGTTGCAATAGTTAAGTTCTAAGTAATATGCTGCGAGCATTTGAGATTTCAGGTATGCGTAAAAATTCATATTTTCTAAGTATAGCGCGAAGTCGCAAAGTGTCTGCTACAGGCATAATAACTATCGTTGGTGCATTTACTTCGCTGTTTATTGGTATAGGTTTTAACGACCAAGACGAGTCAGCCAATTGCGCAGCATTTTTATTGCGTCAAACTTTATTTTAGTAAATTTATTTATGAGCACGTCGGCAAGGGAACTAGTTCTCTGGATTTTAATTTATGATAGAATTTTCCTATTAAACTGTATCGCATTGTACTAAGACAACATTGTGTCGTGGTTGAGATGAGAACTTGGAGAAACGGATCGTGGTTGGTAAAAGAAAAGATCACGTGACGCCCAACTAGATCAAGTGAAAGACTCATCCTCAAAACTGTAAAAAGAGAGGCGCAAGACAGAAACCGGTAGAAATAGATTTTCCACTAGAGATGTTTCCTTGCTGACCACGACGCTCAGACATGAGCTCCGACTGAAGAGAGAGAGAGATATTTTTAGCATTTACATTATACATTTCGATGACGCGACAGTGTAATTTACGGCTCTGAAGTCACCCCTAGTCGATCCAACTCATGTTCCAAACCCTCTCTATATTTATTAAAGCCGTCTTAACGGCTAAGCCAGCTCCACATGCAGGACTTAACTTTGACCTTGCAAAAATCTGTTGAGCACGTGCCTACCTCACGTTTATATAACGACGGTAGTATTGATGAAACAGTGGATGCTGCCTGCTAACTACGGCAGATCTTCCATGACTACGTGGGAAGGGAATTGGCTAGTCACTGCCAAGTCTATCAGGCTTTACTGTACGCTCATAGCACTAAAGCTGGTGACTAAGGGACGGGAGAATCAAACACCTATATTTCGTGCCTCCAAGTCGTCCTGAAGGCAGTGGCTGGCGGTTTTTCCAGACATGAACTGGTGGTTCAAGGTAGGAAAGAGATAGAAGAAGTACGAAAGACAGGGAAGGATATCCAGTATAACTGGAGTTTTAGATTAGATTTGAATTTTACACAGGTATTTAACGTTTTAATTAAAAGAAATAAATATGTACTTATACTTAATTATTATTTCAAGGGTGTACTCTGCTGGAAACCAGAATATTATATAAATTCGTTGTTTAAAAAAACACACAAAGTCCACTAAATTTTTTATCTAAATTGGATTTTATTCAATTATGGCACGTAGTATTGAGCTAAAACGTAATTATTTTAAAAACATTAATTTGACGTGGAGCTGTTACTAGCGTTTTTATTAAATATTTTATATTTTACGTGTTCTTAAATAAAAAGCATAAGGCGCTTGCATCATTTTGCAATCATCTCATGCGAACTTAGGCATGCGTTTTCATCAGTTTTTGTTTCATCAGTCTGTCGCTCCATTGAGACGGGAACACTGCGCTTCTTTGTACAGCGCTCACAATATTATAATTATCACGATTCAATAGGTACTATTTAGTTCATAAACATTAGTTTTAGTGTCGTGAAGAGATGGCAAACACAAAAAACTTACTAAATAAATATACAAAGTCGTTTGAGAGAAGTTCAGTGACATACACACTCACAGAAGAATTATATATATAAAGATTTTATTTTACGTATATTGATTGCAGCCAATGGGTCCCCGTATCAAGTCAGAAAATGCATATATTATCTATATAATGGTGTTCCTTTTACTCGATTAGGTACAATACTTTTTAAATCATTGAAATCGGTAAATTGGTTTTAAAATATGTTTATTATGGAACATAAGATACATGTATCACTCACATGGTTGCGAAGATATTACACATTTTGTACAAGCCAACCGCGGGGCGGCCGAAATGCTCATGTGACGTCACGAGATCCCTACCGCCCGCGCGCTCGCTCTCCGCCATTCATTTATTAAAGTTCACTCGATCTGCGCGGGTCGTGTAACGTGTTGTGGTTTTGTGGTTTTTATGTGAAAATATGCCGCATTATAAGTACTGTATAGTACCGAAATGTACTAATACTTCAAGTAGTACACCTGAAAAACTGTTTTTTAATGTGCCAAGGGACCTGAAAGTGCGCAAAAAATGGTGTACTGTCATGAAGAGGGATGACAAAGTTCCGCTTTCGTACCACACTGTAAGATATTGTTGCGAGGATCATTTTGATGTAAGTAGCTCCATATACTACTATTTAACTATTAAACTATTATCATCATTACTCATGTGGTAAACAGTAACTTAGTAAAACTTGTTTACGAATATAAAAGAAAAATACAGGGTCGTACTAGGTATATTTCAATGAGTACATAAATTATAAAAAGTGTGAGTAGTGAAGTTTCTAATAACCCTTCCTCAGTAGTCGGGTAAAAACCAGGGTCGTACTCAGGCTCAACTAAATGAAATGTGCCGTTCCCGGGAATATTTCCCAATGCGGGAATATTCCCGAAGTTCCCCGGAACATAGGGGATCATTCCGGGAACAAAGGGGAACATTCCCGCCTTGGGGAATATGTATCTGTAGGTAATAAAACTGTAGCCAAAGTGAATTCTATACATTGAATATTTTTTTGAATAATCAAGTTATGAGAGCTCCATACACGCAATAGAAACCAAAAATATTGTTTTTGAATTTCTTGTCTTACGCCTTTTTTTTAAAACTCTTTGAGAATATTTTTACAATACGCCCCTTTAATACTTTGTTTTTCTGCTTTTGTTTTCTAAAATTATGATGCCTTCCATATATAAACATAAATTTATTATATTTTTAGTTGGAAGCTGATATGGAGAACTACGTCAAGTATAAGCTTGTGGGAGGACAGCTTAGATTGAAGAAGGAAGTATTGCCTCATAAGTTTGATTGCCAAAAACCACAAAAAAATATAGCTGAGAGACCCGGGTTTAAGAAAAGGCAAGATATAGAATATTTGAAACGAGTCTTAAGTAAAAATGTTGAACATGAAAATTTGATGCCGAACCCGGTTGAATTTATTGAGATTGAAGATGATTCAAAAAATAATCCACTTTCTATAGCAGAAAGTGTAAATGAGTTGCCAGAATCTCATCAAACTGGCCAGAAAACCAAAGGTGTACAGGTTAATATCAGAAAAGAAAAACTAGACGACACCAATACGCAAGTCAATGAGATTGAAATGAAATTAATCATTTCGTCGGGCACTTTTCTTACTTACCTACCAGCAATGTGCCGGCCGTTACCTACTAACAATACTAGGAACTAACTCCCAATAAGATTTCCGACTGGCAATGCACCCAGAAACATTGAGAAGAATATTCCCGGTAACATGTTCATATCCATAAACCTTACGGGGAATATTCCCGGGCCTGAATACGACCCTGTATTCCTGACCTATTTATTATCCTGCTGTGCACGGGGCGCGCTGTGGTTCGGCGGCAAGCTTTGAGATCTTGTGACGTCATCGCTTGCATTCGCGCGGTCAGAAAACCTTGTTCGGTATTTTGCCCATAACTTTGTCAGATTTGGTCGTAGAACAAAATTTTTTGATTTTTAAGGACTATAAAACTGCAATTATAACGTAAAACTATTACGGGTCCCCATTAAGAGTGTATTAGAGAATGTAGGGTAAAAGCCGGACGGATACATGCCCCGGTGTATAAAAAACTATGTTAAGATTATAAGTTGTGTTGGCGCTTTACTACAATAAGTAGTGAGCGCCCCTCAGGCCTCAAATCTCAATGCCGCGTAAGCCATCGGAATAGGCGCACGTGTTTTGACCGTGTGAGCAAAAATCTTCCGCGGCGAAACTTTGACGGGCGTTATAATTATCTTGGTAAGTAATTTCTATTGATTATTTTTCCGACCCAAATATCGACCAATAGAATTGCACCATTCGACGTCACGTGGTACAACCTACATGGTATTATACTGATAATTTTCTCTGGTAGTTGCTTCAAGAAAAGTATTAAGTAGTTGTTTTATTGCTAAATAATTTTTATTTATTTCGCAAATAAAAGGGCCAGTATCCGCATCAAAAAAGATAGTCGCCCTACTTATTGTAGCGGATAGTTGCCCCTAGAGTGACTAAAAATTTCTTAACAAGTAAAGACGGATTTTATTTTTTTTGCTGTGTTTTTATGTTTTTTCGAACTTGCTGTAAATTAAATAAATATCTACTTCACAGTTTTATATATTTTTCTAGATAAGCAAAATGCCTCGCAAATATAAGCGAAAACCAGGCGTGGTGCCACGTAACATCCACTGGACAGAAGATAGCTTAGCACTTGCCTTCGAAGAATTGAAACAAAAAAAAAAAGGTATAAATGAAATTTCTCGAACATACGGAATATGCTTATGATTGATTGATTATTGCTCGAACCTTAAGAAGACGCTATGAAAAGAGTAACCAGCAACTGCTAACTCAAGGTATATTTTTGATTTAAAGGTGTATACTTAGTATAAATACAAAATTCTATCTACATACCTATCTTCTTATCTGACCTTATTGGATTTATTGTGTTTTCTAGGAAAATATCCTGTTCTTGGCGTTGAGAATGAAAGAAGACTGGTAGCTCATTTATTAAAGCTTGGAGACGCCGGTTTTCCTCCTGACAGAATTGTGATTCGCCAATTAGCTTATCAGTTTGCCGAAAAGTTGAGATTAAAGCACAACTTTAATAATGAGAGTAAAATGGCTGGACCGCAATGGCTAAAAAGCTTTCTTGAAAGAAATCCTGAAATAGCTTTGAGACAAGCTGAGGGTTTATCAATTGAAAAATCATACCGAGGTTACTATCCCCGCACGAGGCAAGTATCCCCCGAAGCATTTTCTACGCTAGGCTACTATGGATACTATGCATAGAAGGCAACTATTTATTCAAAACCATTGTTAATTATGAACACAAAAATAGGCTTTTATAGAAGATAAAAGACCTATGTTGTGAGATACATGGTATACATTTTCTGCAAGTTCATATTTCAAAAAAATAAAGCTTTTTCGAAAAGTGGGGCAACCATCCGGCTTTTACCCTATGTGCATGATTAGTTCTTTTATAAATAAACAGTTTTCATAGTGTATGTCTTTTCTTCTGCACACGTATCCTGATTTTTTGGTTCATTCTACGCATTCTATGAATGCGAGACGAACCCCGAATCAATTTCGGTTCTTTAAATAATGTTACACAAATTGTCAAAGGTAGTTTTTTTAAAGTATTCGCGTTGGGACCTTTTGATAGCTGTTAAAATGGCATTTCCTACAATTTGTATTCACCCACGCATGGCTTAGCGCCAAACAAAAAAGTTTTCACGTGTAAACATACGGTGATTGATTGATCTATCCCGTGACGTCACTTGGCAATCGCTCTTTCCATGCAATAGCGAAATTAACGCGTTTCAATTTATATTATGTACTTTTTCCACGTTCGCAAAAACAAAAATGTTTTTATTTAACATTAAACAATATACCGTTACTGTGAAACAATTCATGTACATTTTATATGAAAAAAATGATAAAGAATATTGATTTCGAAGCCAAAATATTTGTTAATTATATATTTAATTATGATTTTTAGAGCGAAACGTGAAGAAAAATCCATAGAAGACCAGATGACAGCAACAGAATCCAATGAGCCAAGTGAGATGGATTGCCAACCAACAGCATTGCTTCAGGTGGGTTCAACTCATTTTTTATTCGACAAGTATTTACCTAAAAAACTATTCGAGTGCAGGGGGCCTACCATAAACTCTTATTGCACCCAAGCCTATTGACAACCTACAACTGACGCTGGCCACAGACGGACCGCATGTTGCAGTCGATACCGACTGCTCTAAGCGGTCGCCGCACGGCGAACTGCAGTTTCCATACTAAATTCATATCCGCCATACACGGACTGCACGACCAGTTTCTGAGCGGTCGGAGCAGTCGCTCTGCGGTCGAGTTCCGCCGTGCGGTCGACTGCTTAGAGCTGCCGGACCCACCATACACGGACCGCTACAAGCGGTTGCTGCCGACCGCGCGCCACTCCCTCAAATAAAATAAAATACTAACTAATTCATCAAATGAAACCACGGGCATTCTAAACTAGTTGAAAAACGTTTCAGTGTCTTCTCTCATTTGGGGATACAAAGTATGAAATATTCCATGCTATTCTCTTGATTGTAGTATTGGAAGCATCCACAAGCTAAAGTGTCTTCTACGCCTACGGTTGCGTAATAGTAGTACAAGAAACAGTGTTTCTTCATCGAAATCCATCTTGTTAATGAACTCGCATCAGTTTTATGTTGCGGTCGAACACAACTGCTCCAAGCAGTCGTAGTCGATTGCATTATGCGGTCGTGTTGCAGTCGTGTACGACTTCAACGCGACCGCTCTAGAGCAGTCGGTCTCGACTGAAACATGCGGTCCGTCTATGGCCCGCTTGAGATGCATCGCTAATTCGTACCATGACATCGAAAAAACGAGACAGTTTATGTTCCCAGTGACCTTAGCGATTATCAGGTTTCGTTCTTTATTTCCATAATGAATAACATATTAAACAAGTGTATCATATGATTAATTATTACATATTATGTGCATGCATTAAAAAAATACAATATTATTATTTATAATCTTTAAATTATATTCCATAATAAGAATCAAAACCAAAATTCATTTTTATAAATCATTATAAAGTATCATTAAATAATCTACGGGTAAAGGCCTCCTCCATTTTGCTCCACATCTGTCTGTCTTTTGCTTTGGTGGTCCAGTTTTCACCAGCTTTTATTTTTATTCCATCAATCCAGTTTTTATTTGGTCTACCTCTTAATCTTTTTGTTGGTTCTTGCCAGTTCACCCTTGGTGTCCATTTTTCCTTGTCCATGCGAGGAGTAAGAGCCGCCCAATTCCATTTCTGTCTAAAGCATCTATTATTTTTGTTGTTTTCCTTATTTCTGTATTTCTCTTCCGATGTTGTCTTTGTACGTTTAGTAGACTCCTTTCCATCATTCTCTGGCACACTTGTATTTTGTCTTTGGTGTAGTTATTGTAAATCAAGACAAGGTATTAAATATGAGACCATTATTTTTTTCTTAAGTTTAGAAGTTTTAGTAAAATTCTGATTTATGGGTTTCTTTATTGCTCGAGGATTTATTCCAGGTTATGTTGACTCGTCTTTTAACCTCATCTTCGTGTCTTGTCTTTGAGAAAGATACTTGTTGACCCAGGTAAACATAGCTTTAAACATGTTGTAATGTACTGTTAATAACCTTTATTGGAATAGTTTGGTGGTTCGCCATAATAATAATCTTTCATTTGATAGTGCATTGTAAGTGCATACATCGAGGTTTTGTAGTGGAGATGGAGGGTTGTAGTCATTATCCCCCGCGGTGACCAGCCGTATTGGGAGATGAAGAGGGGCTTTCCTGTAAAGAAAATAAAATTATTTATATTATATGAATTAGTTAACGTATAAATTGAATTTGTAGAAATTGAAGGAATTAATTTTTATTATAGTTACTTAAGATTTTAGAGTAATAAGTTGATTTGTAATATCTTTTGCAAAGGGTTTTATATGATATAATACGTATCAGTAATTCACTTCGATATAGGTATTTATTTTTAATAAACAAATTTGTGAACAATACTTACCCCATTCTATTATTTTATAAGTTAAACAATATATAAAACTAAAATTTTGTAAACACCAAAATATTGAAAGCTCCTATCAAAATTTGACGGAAACGTTTAGAAATAATAAGTGTCACTATCATAGCACCAGAAAACTTTACGTTTAAAATATATCAAAAGAATAGTTTTATATTAAATAAATATATATATTAGGACATAATAGCTTATTGGAATTGGTGAATTATTTAAAATAATTTTATATTTTATTTATTTTTATAGAAACATCTGTCGAAGCAAACTTGCCAGTTAAATTTCTAAACTGATAAAGAAACCACCAACAAAAATATCGTTCTTTCATTCGGTCTTGCGATGCTCATACGTTTCAGCTTATAGGCGGTCATGGTACGAAAATATGCTATTGACTTTAGGTACCTAAACTCCGCTGCATCTCAACTGGATTGTTTTAAGAAAGTTCATGGTAGGCCCCCAGAAATTGGATCAACGGCGTAGAAATTCCATTAGGTAAAACCAAATCAAAATCTTCTTTCGATACATCTCCATTACTGGAGGTTGGCCGTCAGTCTCGTGAAGTGTGTCTCCTTTAAAATTGCGCTAGAAGTGGCCCAGGTACGCCAGGGACAAAAAAATATTATCACAAAAAAATAGAACAAATTATCTGGATTGTTTGATATTTTATAAAAAATATAAAAAGGTCAAGAAAAATAAAATAACATAATATGCCTATTGCCTATATTCACGAATAGTTGCTACTATAAAGGTATAGGAAAGTAAAAGTTTTAATGATGTAATCAAAACGTTAGCCAAAAATACAATTGTATTGCTCTTTTCAAAGTAGATTTTATATCAATAGTATAGGACCTACTTTATTTCTGTAATAGTATATGGGTCATAGGCAAGTTTCACGCAGGTAACCTAGTCCCTCAACTGTGATTATTTTTTTATTATTAATATATATATAAACTCTTTCAAAATGTATACAAAACACTTCGCATTAACAAACATTAAAAACAAAAATAAAAATATAAAAAAATAAAAACTGCAGTAGAACAATCAGCTCCTTTCACTGGCGACAACAATTTTCTGTCTAATATTAGCAATCTTTGTCAAAAGCGACCAAAAGGATTCTACAACATTGTCTACAGCTGAGATTCCAATGTGATGCTCCTCTAATATCATTGAAAGAAAAACCTTATAGCACTTATTTGTCAGAACAACCCAGCACATCAAAACAAAATGACGATGCTTTGATCGAGAAGGTTTTTGAGTATATCTGGGTAAAACCTTATCAGAAGCAGAAGATGGTGAAGTTAAAATTATGATTTTTAAGTCAATCGATCATACTGATATTGTTCATTATTTTACTTCCTATTGTTCCAGAACCTAAAAAAGTCTATAAAGGTTAAAGTATATACTACCAGTTTGAAAGAAATATTTGAAAAATGAGTAAATTTCATTTTCCAGTTACATACACACAATTACTATTAAAGCTTATATTTACGTTATAAACAAACTCAACTGCAATTCAAGTCAAGTAAGATCATTGATATACAAAAAACCCAAGATGCACACTCAACGTCTAAAAAACGTCCGCAAAAAATGAGCGCAATATTCTTTGTGCACGCATTTCAAATAGTCTCGCGTCGCTCGCGTCTGGGAGCAGTTGTTAAAAATGCCAAAGTGTTGTGTGAGAAATTGTAAAAATATTACGTCAAGAAGGCTAAAAAAGGATGGGATATCGTATTTTCGGTAAGTAAAAAACTTTATTGATAAATTTTTGTTGTTTTTATGACTGATTATAACAAGCATGTGTGATTTTTATTTATTTTTTCTAAAAACTTCATTCAACGCGCTTACTTCTATACGGCCAACTTCAATGGCTGCTTGTTCAGTGTTAGAACAACGCATTACAGTCTTCTTTTTATTTTAGTCGCATTATAAAAATGACCCTGTTCTAATAAGTGGAGTCGACTTTTTTAATTTGTGTTTTTTTTATAAATAAATTTATTAATTTTTGAACTTTTTGAAGTGAAACTTCTTTATCGGGGTTGGAAAAAAATTTAGTGTAACATTTTTGCGTTACGCGTCACATTTTTCCGTTACGCGCCATGTTGCTTTTTGAAGTCAAACTTCTTTATCGGCGTTAAAATATGGCATATAGTATGTTTTTGACTTTGAAGTTTGACAACGGATTACATTTTCGAAGTCAAACTTCTTTATCGGCGTTAAAATATGACATATAGTATGTTTTTGACTTTGAAGTTTGACAACGGATTACATTTTCGACTTGAAATATGCTAATCGCAATTTGCAGCAATTAATTTGTAAATTGTATGCTAGGCAGTGTATCAAAATTTACTGTGTTTAAAGAAATAGTTTCGGACCTCTAAACTTAAAACAAACCAATTATGGCTCTGCGTACAACAAAGGTTTTATATAAGTTTCACTTCTTACGTGTGTACACCTAGTACACGCACACATTTTTTGTGTGTAGTTTTTGACAAATATATTACGCTATATAAGTGTAGTTCAGGAGGTAGCCAAATTAACATATTTTTAAATGTTCGTAAATATTATGATGTTTAACGATTCATTTATGGGCCAACTTATGAGTTCGCGACATGCGGCATGCTAAGTATAGAAGTGTCGCGTAGTCTGTAGTCTGTAAATGTCACATTATAAACTTCATGGAAACTTCTAATTTTTATATTTTAGTTTTCCTCGTAACCCAATACGACGTGGAGAATGGACATCAATCATCAGTCAACAAAGGCGAGAAGATTTTTTTAAGCCGAATAATTCAAGCGTCGTTTGTACCGAGCATTTTTTGGAGGAAGATGTGTATGTCACTTCAAAAGGCATAAAACGTCTTTGTAAAACGGCTGTTCCTAATATAGTGGTAGGTAACTCGTAAGCAAGCTAAATGAATTTGTCAAATAACGTAGTACCTTCGTTCAATTCATTATTTTTTGTAATTGTATTTATTTTTTACAGGATATGACTCCACAGGACCTCAAGATTGTAAGTAACTACGATGAAGAACGCACGGAACACAAATGCACAAATAAAAATATATTTATGTGTTTAAAACACAATTTAACAAACTCTTAAAATACTAAATAGTAATGTATAATGAAAAAAAAAAGTCATGTTCGACTCCACTCAATACCTTGTCCTACCGACCACGGTCGGTCGTAAAATTTTATTGATTTAATTACACTGCGTTGTAATAGCAACTTTAAACAATTCGCGTAAGGTTGATTTTGCAATAATATGTGTTTCAGGACACTTTCGAGCGTTACTTTTATTCGAGACTGTGCATCTTGGGTTTTTTGTATATCAATGAGTAAGATACAAAAAAGAACAACCACGTTACTGTGTTAAAACTCTGTTACGTTTCTGTCCCTAGGATATAAAGACCATTCATCAGATTTTTATGAAAAGCTAATTTATATAATATGATAATTTAACAAAAATTTGTTGTTTGTTACTTATTTATACAGTCATATGGTACTGTCCATTGTGTAAATAAAAATCAAGACTTGATACATGTCTTCTGAAGGTAGTGCTAAGAATTCAAGAAACATGCTTAGTGGAGTTTTTGTTAATAACACGCTTATAGTGAGTGTAACAGTAATATGAACATTTATAATTCTTATTAAAAATTTACTTGTATTTCAGGATACTTCAAAAAACAATGAGAATAGCGTTGACAATGAAGGTAGTTTACAAAGTCCTTCTGATGAAAAATTCAATAATGAAGAAATAAAATGCGAAATTGTCAGTAGAACTTTTGTTAATAAAAAGTTTAGTGTCAAACCCATATGAACATTTATAATACGTTTATATTTCAGGAGACTTTCAAAAACGACGAGAATAGCGTTGACAATGACGGTAGTTTACAAAGTCCTTCTGATGAACAATTCAATAGTGAAGAAATAAAATGCGAAATTGTCAGTAGAACTTTTGTTAATAAAAAGTTTAGTGTCAAACCCATATGAACATTTATAATACGTTTATATTTCAGGAGACTTTCAAAAACGACGAGAATAGCGTTGACAATGACGGTAGTTTACAAAGTCCTTCTGATGAAATATTCAATAATGAAGAAATGGAATGCGTAAGTGTCCGTAGAACTTTTGTTAGTAAAAAGTTTAGTGTCAAACCCATATGAACATTTATAATACGTATTAAAATTTACTCATATTTTAGGAAATTTCAAAAAACAACGAGAATAGCGTTGACAATGACGGTAGTTTACAAGAACCATCTGATGAAATATTCAATCAAATAAAAAAAGAATGCGTAACGGTTAGTGGAACATTTATTAAGCTTAATTGTCTTACACCGTGTAAATCAAAAGACCTAGATATGCAGTCAAAATGCTGTTATACCGACATCGAAGGGACTACTCATATTTGGTCGTAAAAACCGATAGTCTTAACAGCCGATGACGTTGTTATTAAGTACCTACAATTCAATAGAATTCAGCCGGGATTTTTGATTTTGGTCAATATAACCGGTATGTTGTTCTAAACGATTTCGTCATAAACGGTTTTAACTGTAAATCCGAAATATAAATTTAATATGACATGTATATTGTATACTTATATGTTTTTGCATATTTTTTTTGAGAACTAATAAGATTTTATTTCCTTCAGGTGCCGCAGCAGGAGGAAACTACAATAGACTTTGAAAGTGACAAATCTTTAGACATACCTAAGACACAAAAAAATTCACGACTGCGAGAGAAAAATAAAATAATAATAAGTCAGCAAAAAAAACTAGCGGTTCAAGATAAAACGATAGCAACCCAAAAAAGATTAATAGCAAAACAAGTAAAGGTAATCAACCGTCTAAAGGCCAATATAGAGGATTTAGAATTAAAAAATGATAAGCTGACAAAGCGGAATGAGTTTTTAAGAGGATCATTACAGAGACTAAGAGAAAAAGTACTTAATGAGAACGAATAATTTTTTATGATATTTTATTAATTAACAACGTGCGTGTGGAAAAAAAGAAGAGCTATCCAAGAAGACTACCATACCAACACTAAAGAATGCCATAACTCCATATTCCACACTTTGATTTTTACAACTGTTAACTTAATAATGTAAAATTAAGAAAATAAATATATCATAGTTGTGGCGCTCCTTTACCACCCGCAAAATCATCCCCATGTTTTGTTAGTTACTCCAGAACAGAACACAATATTTAACAATAACACTTACAAAAATATTATTAATGCAATCACTTCACTCAGAAACAAATATAAAAACCTAAGTGGAGTGTGACGTCATGTACCTATTCACATTTCGCTCAGTGCCAAGGTTACATCGATTCCATTCGCCTCGATAACAATTAATACCCACAACAATAACGCGATTGTGTACGCTCCATGGATATTTCTTTCCAGCCGACCAGTCATGTACTATTTTTTTGGCCAGACATTGTCATTATACTATTTATATAGTAATCCTTCGCCGCCTCCGGCGTTCTACTACTACTACTTATTTCGGTTTGAAAGAAACAGCCACACGCTGTTCGTTTGTTATTTTTTACTTAAATCCAAAGTAGAAACTAAATTGCGTTTAACTGAAGGAATTTTAGAGGAGCTATGTGACAATAATAATTCTACAAATATCACGCATTCCCAAAAGATTTCCCAGTCCGTAGTAGTTTGGACTGGTCCTAAATACTGCCTGTAAGTTAAGTTTCCAAGTAATCGTTCCCTTGCTATAATTAAATAGTGCTGGATGTAAACATTGTACAGACTGAATTGATTAATTTATAACGGGCGAAGTTGGGATATTACGCCAATATTCGTGTGCCGTGCCACCTGCATTAGTATTTAATCTGATAAAATAATGAACGTGAACGAACTTAGACGTTACTTCACAAGTATCGAACTAACTTTAATCAACTGATGTATTTAGGTTGTCTAAATAATTAAGAAGGAATCATCAGCAATGTAACTCCGCACATTGTGAGTAGTTTTATTGTGTTTCTGAAAAGATTTCAAAGAAACCGACAAGAATACGCAGAGTTACCCTTGTGTTATACTTAAAAAGTGCCGTATAGCAGGACAAAGCATTTATTGTCCTCACAGAAAAAGCTAGCAATTCCAAAACGGTTCTTCTTAGAAACTTTCGCTTAATGAAAGTACACAAAAAATCCGTTATTCTGGGATGTAAGGAAGAATGTTTATTGCGTGTTGTAAAGACCGCTGTTCAAGTGTAAGTGAAATTAGATGAAAAAAAAAGAGTTTATGGCATCTAATAAAGGTTTGTACGGCGCCGGTCATCTAAATTGGCCTATTACCGAAAATTATCCTACTAATATTAAAAACGCGAAAGTTTGTAAGAATGTATGGATGTTTGTTACTGTTTCATGTAAAACTACTGAATAGATTGTAATGAAACTTTACAGAACAACACATAGGCTACAATTTATAAAGATATTGTGTGAATTGTCCAAAATATCAAGTAGGAAAAAATCTAACATCTGCGAGCTATTCTGGCGTGCGCTGCCAAAACCGTTTAGAGTTACACATAATATGTAATATATGATGGAAATTTTTATTTTAAATAGTAAATATCTTTAGTAGTTTTTTTCTACGACATGCTGATAAGCTACTCGAAATACTAATCCTGCCCAGATCAAGTTGCGGGCACCAGCTAGTAAGTAATATTGCGTAATTAGTAAATAACCGTATAAGTATCTGATGTTACGTAACCTATTGTAGAATGACACAGACAAATTGCCATATCCTTTTCATGTATTATTTTTCTTTAGACAAGAAGGTGACCAGCCCTTTGTGCCAGGCATACCACCGCATGCCACGAACGAGTGCCACACATAGAAAAAACCGGCGTTTTCGTAGATTTTCAGTTTCAGAAAAATATTTTTATAGTGGATTTAAGATAATAAACGTGAAGTAGTTAAAATTTATATCATTAAAGACCTCATCTACAAAACTTTGGTTGATCATAAAAAATGGTTTGTTATATATGTATATTAAAAATTAAACAATAACAGTGAGTTTGTTGAGTTAGACCTTAGACCTTATATTATAATAAGGTCAGTATAAAGGCGCGTAACAAATACCATAGGTACCACATTTTTTATAGGCTCCGGCTAGATACATCATAAATCTTCTTGACAGGCTAGACTATTACAAACATTGAACAAAGGCGGTGGTTCTAAAATACTACAAGAAAGGAACTTCATTCAGAAAATTTGAATGCATTGAACAAAAGACTATACAAAAGCTAAGAAAGCGAAGTTTAAACGAAATCTCATCTCCTTTATTGTGAGACAATTAAATTTATGTGGGTTCATATATCAAAACAGGAATGCATTTATTAAGTCGACAACTCGACTGTTTCATTAGCGCAAGTCTGCGGTACTCGTAATTTTTCATTTAGCATTCTGTTAACACGTATAACGGACTGAAAGCCATCGGTTTTATCATACAGGTACAGATACCGGCAAACATCTTGAACAATTAATGTCCTTGCCTGCGCAGAAGCGAATTTTAGATATCACTGGGAGGGGGGGGCGGCGGGAGAGTGACGTGTCGATCGCTCGATCGGTCGATTGGTAAATCAGTTGAAGTTTGTGTCCCGCGATGCGCAAACTTTCCCCCACTCCCTTGTTTAATGCTCGAGAAGTTTGCCGGTATCTATAATATTCACAGCTCATCACCACCAAATTGTAAACCAAATTATTAGTTGTAGGTACCCATTCCCTATCCCGTTTAAAGAAGATGACGTTTTATAAGAGGTTTCTTGACCAACACAACAAAGGTAGAAAATAGTATTCGATCCTATTGAATTGAGGAAGTCAAGAGAACAGCTGTTACTATACAATTATATTGGTACGAGTGAATCACCAAGAACAATAAAATACCTTATACAGGCATTCACCAACATCTTGCATAAATTACACCTGAAATAACACATTATATAAGCAAATTTTGCTTTTGAATGTAGCCATTCAGTTGATTTACACTATACAGCCCATGCTATAACTGATATCGTGGATGGGAAGATAACGCTATATTAACAGACAACGTTTATTTGTAAAATGTGGGTATAATTGAATAACCGTTACAAAAAGAGTTCTGCAATATTTTAATGATGTGGGTACATGATGGGATACAAAAAAAATATCGGCTAAAATGTCTTGAACAAACTGTATCATGTCACCGTAAACATTCGCTAAAAATCACATAAGTGTGAAGCCCTAACGCCCTAACCTCCAATTGGGCATAGGGCAGACACATTCCTGTGTCTATGTCAGTGCTTCCCAACCTTTTTTGTGTTGCGCTCCTCCATACAAAATTCCATGTAACATACATAATTTAAACAATTTAATTGTTCCCTTTTTAAACAAAAATTATAGGTTTAGGAAGAAATTACTAGGAAATTGTTAACGAAACACAGTAAGTAAACTTTCGAAATATGTAATAAAAACTCACACTTAACAATTATTATAAAATAACAACTACTGTTATTATCACTAAATAAATAAAGAAATAAAAATTACGTTTTCGTTTATTAGGCATGTATATTAATAAAGAATTGTAAAATGTATAATGTATTATGTATAATAAAAAAATATATGTTTATTATGGAACATAAGATAAGGCGTCCCTACTCATCGGCAAAGAAGACAGAGGGTGTAGGCCGAGAGAAAAAGCCGGCGTAAAAAACTAAAATAAAACATGATTACTTATTATTATTTCTTATTTATCTAAGACTAATATCTCTGTTCTGTGTAATTTGACACATATTGCGTCACTGATATTTTTAAGCGTCGTTTTCTGTTATAAGACGTAATCATAAACTAAACGGTTATTAAAATTAAAACGTCGCCATTTGAGTAAAATGACACCCAAAGATAGAATACTTAAAGATTTGATTTTATATTAAAATGAGTCCGATTCCTATTTAATAATTTCCTATAGAATTCTTATGGGCAAGACAATTTTAATACAAATACCTAGCATTGTATATAATAAAATTATTGCAATAAAAACATGTGTCAATATAATAAAAGTAGTGTAAAGATTTCCGAAATTTAGAGAGAGGGAAAAAAGAAGATATGTTAGGAATTTAATGAATTTTATTGTCATTAAAATATTTAAAAGTGTCGAAAATTAATACAAATAATAAACTATTTTTTTTTAAATTTATTTCTTCGTTAATAAAAACACGTGGCATTTTAATTTACAATTCGTCATTTGAGATTTCAATACATTATTTTGCATAAAATATAAAATACTAGATAATATTTCATTAATCTTCTTAAATACTAATATTTCTTAATTTTTATAAAACTTTAAGTTTTAAAATAGAATTTCTATAAGGTAATTCGCCCTTCTCACTCTCTCTCAATCGCTCTCTCCCTTTTCTTCGACTAAAACGCTGCACATCTTCGTGACGCTAATATTATTATTATTGCATTTCATCCGTGAAAATTTTACCCTAATGCGCCTAAAGAAGTTTCACTTCAAAAAGCGAACTAAAAATTAAAAATATTAGATTATTTAACACTAGTAAATTTTGTTATATATTCATTCATCTATAATATATAACTTTTATAAGGAATACGCATAAAAAAGCTCTTTACAAATTGCTCGTCTCTATAAAACCTGCACAGGTAAATCATGTTTTCCGGAGTTATTGTTAACGAGTAAAGAAGATAACGTGTTCGTAATCATTGCATAACGATGACCAAGTTTCCTGATCTTACTGACTCATGTGTTATGACGTAAGAGACTAGTTGTCTATTACATCCGCTATTTTGTTAACGTACAAAAATGAGTTTCGTCTTCGTAAAGGGCAATCCAACATTTAAGCATTTTTGTTCCAGAATAAATAAACAGAGCCAATTACGAACCAATACGTGACCTATAGTTATCGTAATCGATTGCTCTCATCATACCTACTCATATTCGTGAACGGGT